GGCTACATGTCCACTAAGGTCCCTCTCAGATTTCCACTTCTGTGATTCTGTCACCACTCTTGGGTGTAGTTTCTTCACCCATAAAACACTTTAATTAGTCTTGAGGATCTTTTCTAGCTCTAAAATCCTATGATAATTACTCAAAACCTCAAGAAAGCCTCCCCCTTAAAAAGTATATCACAAGACAAGGAAGAAGCAGGTGTACTGATACTTTTATCAGTACCCTGACTAAGATTGTCTGCCCATGCTCTTTGGTTTCACTGTGCTTTGAGGGAGAGGGAGGGAAATGTTATCTCCACACTCTTCTTCTTGCCAGTGTTTCGCTGAGTGGGGTAGGGGTAGAAGGGACGACTGGCCTATTTTGAGGTGAGTTCCTAACCCATCCCAAACATCATGAGCTGCTTTATGTAGTATAATGGGTGGGGATCAGTCACTGAAACAGGGCACAGTAATAATTTCAAGACAAACCAAGTGGTACAGGGTAGACGGTCTATTCTTTGTGATTTGTGTTTTAAACTACAACTAGTACACCTGTGCAGGCCGCTCATTTTTTATTGCTACCATATGTCAAGTTAATGTCTTTGGGATTTTTATTCATTCAGTCAAACCAGCTATGCACACCAGGGGGCACTATGATGAAATGTTACTGTTTTTAATTCATTTTTACTCTAGTTTACATTCCACAGTAATTTGAGGGTGAAGGTTTATCTAGAAAAAAAATTGCAGCAATAAGGATTTATCATGTTGAATATCTGGTTGTCTCCAGCCTGTTTAATTGGTTAAAAGAAATCGCAAAATCATAAAATCCCAATGTTGTACAGGACCTCTGAGGTCATCCAGTTCAATCTGTACTGGAATAAGAATCAGCATATCTAACAAAGAATGATCTATCATTTCTTAAAGACCTCTAATGAGGGAGAATCTAACATGTCCTGTGGCAGACTATTCTCTTTTTTTTTAAACTCTAATTATTAAGGAATTGTTGTTGTTGTTGTTTCTCCTTACAATAAGTCTAAATCTGCCTCTTCAATTTCTACCCTTTGCTCCCCATTCTGCCCTCTGTGGCCAAGCAGAAGGCAGAACAAGAATAATAGCTAGCATTTACAGAGTGGTTTGATATTTAAGATTTGCAAAGCATTTTGCAAATATCTCATTTTATCCTCTTAACTCTGAGAGGTAAGTGCTATTATTATCTCCATTTTATAGATGAGGAAACTGAAGCAGAGCAATTAGTTGATTTGCCCAAGGTCACCAAGCTTTTACGTATCTGAGACTGGTTTTGAATTCAGATCTGACACAGAGGTCAAGTGCTCTATATACTTATACCAGCTCCAGGTTAAATATCTCCAGTTTACTTTCAACATGACACCATCATTCTCTGCTGAGGAGACTGGGATCCTACTAAGGTTAAAGCAATTCAGGTAGTGTAACTCTACCTCTGCCCTAGAAGTTGTCATTAAATTGGCTACTTCAAGGCTTATGGGAGGCCCAATAATTAAAAGAAATGTTTTTAATGTAATTCCACCTATAATCTCACCCTTAATGTTTACTACTTGTGTGATCCTGTGCAATTCACTTAACTTCTCTGTACCTCACTTTTCTCATCTGTAAAATGAGGAGATTGGACTAAATGGTCTCTGAGCTCCCTTCCAGCGCCAAATCTATGATGCCATGATCCAGTGAATCAATAGCTATTCAGTAACCAGCACCACCAGTAGAATATAGGAAAATATCATGTCATAATGCATGCAAATCATATCAGGCACATCTATTCAAAGACCATAAAAGTTCTGTTTATAGATTTAATAATAGTCTTTTTTTAAAAAAAGACAAGGACTACTATATATATGTAAAGACATGAATGACCTGTGAATTCATCAAGTTGAGAATCTCCTGGTATGGAAAATTCCCTTCATTAATGAAGATTAAAACCTGTCTACAATTTACCTGATAAGAGGTTAAGTAAGTTGCTAGGGTCAAGCAGCTAGTATGAGAAATAGAATTTGACTCTAAATGAAGCATTCTCTCCATTATGCAATAGTGCCTCTCCTTTAGAAGAATATAATATTGAAAATCAATCACAATACACCCATAACTGATAAAAGAAGTTCTCGTAACACAACCTAAAATGACATCATTTATTCAGATGATGCTAAAGCCTCACAAACAATTGATGGCATAATATGGTAGAATATGCAGGAATTGTGACTGTAATTATAAATATTTATGATGTTTTGAATATGGTTATACTCTATAAACTTTAGAAACTTGGATTAAGAAGAGGATTGAATTAGGAAATATACCTTAGATTAAGAATATAGGTCACACTGATGGAGTATGGGACTTGGAAACCCCTCCCCCGCAACTCTCCTTGAACTTTCCCACATGGCCAAGGCTCTGGCATGGCATCAACCCATTCCAGTAATCCTTTCAACTGGCCTTTCATTTTGGCCCCACGCTCAAACCTCCAATTCTCTGTTACCTCTAATCTAGCCCAGCCCTTCATTCTCTGGATGGCCCTGGCCACTTCCCACCCTTAATTCAATCTAGACTCCTTCCTTCTCTCTTCCCACAGTCTTCTATATGAAAGATCCATCTTTCCTCCATTAAAGTGCTCAGATCCAATCTGACCCACTTGTCAATTCAAGTGTCACAATAGTGCAGATTCTTAAATTCTCACCCATCCCAACTAATGTTTTAATAAACTTTATCTCTGGCTGAAAGAAGGCTTGGGTCAAATTCATTTGAGGTGGAACTCATGTCATTTGCCTTTGAATTTTGGGGTTCCCAACACACCTAGATTTCAACATGATGAGAATATGTGAAGACATGAATGATCTTGGATCTCCATGTAGGTACTCCCCAGCCACTGTTGCTGACTATTATTCTCACCTCCACCCCATATGTTCCTATCCTATGCCATTTTTAAAAATAAGTTTTTATTAATATCTTCTGTTTCTTAAATCATCATTGTTATCCTAAGTATGTCTTGCCTACCTTTCACAGAGACCCATCCCATTTTTAAAGAACAAAAAAATCAGCACAACTGACTGATACATTGAAAAAGTTTGAAAACGTTTGAAAACATGTATAGAATAAATTTACATATACATACCTATTTGTGTCTAATGGCAGCCTAGGGTAGGGGAGGGAAGAAAATAAAGTGGGGAAAAGAAATTTACATAACTATCATATATTTAAAAGAAATGGCAAGTTGTACATAATAGATATGCAGTTTCATGTGCAATCATCTTTTTATTATATTATGTTATGGAAATGCTTGCTTTATTCCATAAATTAAAAATAAATTAAAAAAAAGAAAACATTTGAAAAGTGTAACACCTGTAGATCTCCCACCTCCATGAAAGTACTACAAATAGCAAATGTAGGTGTGATTTTCATACCTCTTCATTTGAACCCTCTTTAATCTTTGCAATTTTGTTATATTCACTTTTGATTTTGGAGGCATGATGGTTCTTTACATTTTAATGTTGTAGCTATTGTGTACATTGTATATTTTTCGGTTCTCTGAATCAGTTCATATAGAACTTTGTAGGTTTCTCTGTATTTATCAGATGCATCATTCCTAACGGCACAGTGATATCCATTTATTCATTTTTCCTTAAATTCTGTTGTTTGGGGTGTTCAAAGAAGCAAACAATCTCTTTTCTTTCTAAAAAATGATTCAAACGCTACATTATTATTGAATAAACATTTCTTTTCATTTATGGTTAACGTCAGAGTTGCAGGTTAGGTCACCCTGGGCTGTCTCCTAGTTCTGTTGCTCTTCACAACACTTTATTGCACTCCCTGCAGTATTTTCTGATGGGTACAGAATAGTTTTGTGTTATTAGAAGTTCCTTTCCTTTGTATTTGAAAATCTTTTCCAGATCACTTGCATAACTTGTTTCTGATTTGAATTGTTAAATTTAACCACTATGGGTGATGGACTTCTGAGTCTTGTATTTTTTTCTGGAGGCAAGCCATGAATTCTTTCAATTGGTATTGCATTTCTATGTTGAGAAGCTGTGGGCAGCTCTTGTATTATTTCATACATTATGGTGTTCAAGTTTTTCATCTTGTCATGTTCTTCTGGGAAACCTATCATCTAAGGCTGTCTTCGAGATCACTTTGTTTTGCTTGGATAGTGAGTACATTTTATTTTGGTGTCATGGTTTTTCTCTCCTCTTTTAAATTGTTCTTCACTTCTATCTGCATTACCAATCTATTGTTCTCTGTCTTTTTTTTTTGGTGAGACTCGCCATCGTAGATACCAATTTTTCTATTCTACCTACTATTTTTTGCTATACCTACAATGAATTCTGCCCTTATAATTCTCACTTCTCTATTGAGCCACTCAGAAACAGTGAGTTGCAGTTGCATGTTCTCCTTACATTCCACAGGATGCTCTGTCTCAAAAAGTATTGGATCATTTTCCTTTTTTTTTTATTCATAGATAACCAAACTTATTTACTAGATCTTGAGCCCCTTATTTCTTTATATGGATAATATTCTGCCTGTTGATTTATCTGCTTGTGTTCAAAGTCTTTGACTTTTTTCTTCCTGAGATCTCTGGTAATTTCAATCTTTTTTCCCCTTATTTTCTTCCCCTATTGCTCACCTTCAGAATGCTTACCCTCCAAAAATGGTTTCCTTGAGGGCTGAATATCAAAGCATTTCAGAATCTTCCCCTTACCAGCAATTCATAACTTACCAGCCCAGGTCTGTGCCCCAAGCAACTTTTGAGTGGACAAAACTTGGCCCAGCATAATGCAGCACTCTCTCCCTCAGGCTTAGCAGAGGAAATACACATTCTCCTCTACCACTTCCTCTTTTTCTCAGTTGTCTGACTGGGCATAGGAAGTTGAGAGCGTTGCCATACTGGTACTACAGGGTTGATTTCCATAGTTTGGGTCTCCAAGGCTGGGGGTGGGGGGAGGGTGTTAAGCTCTATTTCAAGCCCAGACTCATGCCCTGCCCTTTCCTCTGTAGAGGCTTCATGCAGCACAGACTGCTTCCCACTGTGGCAGTGGCTGCCTGTTGCAGCCCCACCCTTCTTCCCATGGAGCACTAATATGGCACCAGCTATCTGCTGTGATGTGAAGAAACTTCCACAGCCTGGAGCCAGGATTTCCATAGCTCTGGAAAGAGGGGGTAGGACCAGAGTATGTGGATGGGTTTTGTTGTGAGCCAACTTGTCAAGTCCATGGGGTTTGTTTTTGTTGTTGTTTTTCATAAGTACATGTGTTCTGTAAGTGAAGTCTCATTGTCAGTTCACTGCAGGTACAGTGGGAGTGGGGGGTGAGGAAGTACGGGGTGGGCTTAGGGTAGGGTGTTAGTTCACGGGTTGTTTGTTTTTTAACTTCTTTTGGAATCTGGGTGTCCTAGACAGCTGAAGTTGTTTTATTTTTGAGGCATGATTTCTGTTTTGGAGATGTTTGGGAGGTCTTGGGGATCAGAGAAAATATCTAGTCCTCTACCTTGTTTACTACATGATCAAGAAGTCTTCTGCCAATTTTATGTATTTATTACTATAAATCATCCACAGATCCAAAAGATTTGTGGGAGGTCACCCTCTGATTCATTTAATATCTTGAAGATATTAGCATTAACAGATGGACTACATTTACCACTTTCAAGCCTCACTATGTGATCTGTCAATATACTTTTCTGGTCACGAATGTCTTTGGTGATGTCTTTCACTCCACTTCTAGCACTGGAAATTACCATTATCATCTATGCAGTGCATTGGAAGATCTGTGTTCAGATACCATCTCAGATACTTAACTAGCTGTGTGATGTTGGACAAGTCACTTAACCTCTGTCTGTCTCCATTTCCTCAACTGTAAAATAGGTATAATAATAGCACCTATCTCTGATTCTTTTTTTTTTTTTGGTGAGGCAATTGGGGTTAAGTGACCTGCCCAGGGTCACACAGCTAGTGAGTGTCATGTGTCTGAAGCTGGATTTGAACTCAGGTCCTCTTTACTCCAGGGCAGGTGCTCTATCCACTGAGCCACCTAGCTGCCCCAATAGCACCTATCTCACAGGATTGTCAGAAGAATCAAATGAGCTATTTGTGAAATGCTTAGCACTATGCCTGGCACATAGTGGGGACTTAACGAATTCTTGTGCCCTCCCCTTCCCCAGCAATGGAAATAGGATACATCATGTTTCCCCACATAGGCATCATTTCATCACTTTTGGGGTCCACAAAAGTATTAATTATTTCATTATTGAATCTCTTGAATCAGTCAGTTAACAAACATTTATTAAGTAACTATTAAGTACCAGGCACTGTGCTAAGTAAGCACTGGTTTATTTCTTGAGATACTCTTGTAGTCCTTGGGGCCAAGCCATAGTTTGTCCCCACCCCCAACTGAAAGCACTACTTGTATTTATTATAGTGTTACCCTCTTATTCTAGGTTTTCTTTTGGGGTTTCCCTTAACTCATAGTAGTGCTTCATTATATTTGGAGTTTTCTTCCATGTCTTCATATCTTTAGTTCTTGGACTGGAACTTTGCAACAGGGCCATTTGCTAACCGTCCCATTATCATGGATGGAGTGAGCAATCCTTGCCTATTTCTATCCCCACTGCTGCTGTCTTCTCTCATTTCTACAAGGAGTGGCTAGGAACAGGCTCTGTTCTTCACCATAGTCCCTGGCTTCTGCATCCATCTTCTTGTGGATGAACACCCATGCAAGCCTCAGCCCCATTTCTATCTTCTTTTTCCACAATCACCAACCAAGATTTGGCCTCTTCTCCTAGCACAGCCTTAACAAGTTGTGACCAGATGTCAGAGATTATACTGGTCTTAGGTACCCTGCAGAGCTTCCCAGTATGGGCTCCTCGGGTACACAACGAGATCTGGTAGACACCGCCCTCTGCCATGGCTCTATTAAAAGCACATTTCAGGGGCAGCTAGGTGGTGCAGTGGATAGAGCACTGGCCCTGAAGTCAGGAGGACCTGAGTTCAAATCCGGCCTCAGACCAAACACTTGACACTTACTATCTGTATGACCCTGGGCAAGTCGCTTAAATCCAATTGCCTAAAATTTTTTTTTATTTAAAAATTAAAAAAAATTAAAAGCACATTTCAGGCCCTTTGAGACATACATGCAATGCTTTGCCTCTTCTCCCTAAATAGTCACCTCCTTTAGGCTAGCCTCACCCCCCACTACAGTACCAGTTGGATCAAACTGAGATCCAGCTGACTTCAGAACCCTCTCTTCTGAGGACAGTATCTCCCTACTGGGTGAGCTTTTCCATTGCAAGATAACATTGCTGATGGAGGAATTGAGAAGTGAAAGAAATTCCTCTCCTCATCACCTCTGGAGGAAGCAGAAGGGAAAAAAGTAAAGAATAACACTCTCCAAAGAGCTTTGTGGTTCTTCTATAGCTGGCTATAATCTTTCAACTACAAGAGAGTACTTAGAGAGTGTCTCTGCATAACTGGCTAGTTCACTTTTTATCAGCCACTGGGTACTTAACTGGTCCTTCAGTCAGCCAATAGCTAGTGGCCTTATAATTCCACCAAATTTAATTGAGGAATCTCCTTTAAAAAAAAAAAAGCAAGTAAAAATACATACTTACAGTCATTGAATGGGCCTCTCCCAATTTCTCACCCTTTATAACCTTCAAATAACTTCAGGGTGTGAGTCTCATAAGGCACCACACTTTTTACAAAGTGAAAAGTGATCTCCTAAAATTTTAAATGTGGTAAAAACTTTATCATCTCATTGTATCTGTTACTTGCCCTTAACATTCTCTGGGACCATTAGGAGAGGGTGTCAACTGATCAAGGGTGCCCTGATCAATACTCCCTTGCACATACAAACAAAATATCTTTGAGCCAGTAGTCTAATCCAATGTATTAACTAACTCTCATTAAAAGTGGAAGTTCATGAATAGTACAAGCACATTGTTAATAAGGACTTACTTAGGCCTCACAGACAGTGACAGAAGTCAATCACATTTTTGCTATTCATATCTTCAAAAGACTTGGAATAAAGACTTAGCAAAACTTGAATGTGCCTGTCATGGTGAGTTCCTGATCATCAGTAGTTCTACTACAGACACCCAAACAGTTATCACCCACTGAGGGGCATTCCTAGTTGATTTTTTTTTTTTGAAATTTGTTTGCCCTGTAATTTTCTAGCACTTGAGGGAGACCCTGTTGTTTGGGATGCCAAGATATTTTGACAATTTCCTAATTGAGGAGTTGGATCGACAGAGGTTCCCACCACTATGGCTGAAGTCAGAGAGCTTTGAACATAGAAGATATGATATAGATAAAACTATCATGGCATTACTGTGTTGATACTACCAAAGTGTTTTTCTTTTCTCCTTAACCAGTTCAATGACTGACCAGAAATCCAACCTGAAAAATGTACTAATTCTTCTCCAGCCACCACAAATGTAAAAGAGATAACTGGTATTTCTTATTACTTGCATGTGAGATAAACTCACAATAAGGTATGCTATTATTATTATTATTATTATTATTATTATTATTATTATTATTATTATCCTATTATTATCCCCACTTTATAGATGTAGAAACTAGAGCAGTCACAGGTTAAGTGACTTGCCTAGGATCACATAGCTATGAAGTATCTGTCACTAGATTTGAACTCAGATATTCCTCGCTCCAGGTGACATTTTATTCTATACCACCTAAATTCATTTCATTGGGAAGACTCTCTATGGATGATTTATGGGTTCCTTGAAAAGACTAATGAAATTGATAAGCCCTTAGCTAATCTGATCAAAAAGAAGGGAGCAGAAAATCAAATCAGTAAATAGCAAGTGAATGAAGTAAAATCACAAGACCAGATAAAAAAGAATAAATAGATCCCGTTGTGCACAGTTACATGCTAACAGAAGTGAAAACACAGAAGAAATAGAAGAGTACTTAAAAAATATAAAAATCCAAAGCATCAGAAGACCAGATAGAAATAGCACAGTCTCAGAAAAGGAAATTGATCTAAAAGGAAATTGATCTAACTGTAAAGGAACTATCAAGGAAAAATAGAATATTAACTCTTTCTCCATGTAACCTTTTAGAATGGTTGCCAACAGCAGAACACGCTGTGTAAAAATAAAATCTGAAAGCATAGATGGAATTGTTTACTTATTGAAAAGATCTTTGGCACATCACATTTCTTTCTTTTGGTGCTACTGATCCTTTGTTTAAGTGGGTATAAGTCCACTTACATGATTTGGACATCAAGTAATTTGGGGGATTAATAGGAAGAAGGTAAGGGAGGGGAAAGGGAGATGAAGAGAGGAAGAGGAAGAGAGGGAAGGGGGAGAGGAAGAATATGAGAGGAGGGGAGGGAAGAGAAGTGAGAGGGAAAAAGAAGGAAAAGAAGACTAAGAAATGGAAAAAGAAAACTAGAGTGAGAAAGGAAGAAAAAACAAAAAAGAATAAGAGGGAAGAGAGGGAGAGAAATAGAGGGAAAGGAAGAGAGAAAGAAGGAAGGAAGGAAGGAAGGAAGGAAGGAAGGAAGGAAGGAAGGAAGGAAGGAAGGAAGGAAGGAAGGAAGGAAGGAAGGAAGGAAGGAAGGAAGGAAGGAAGGAAGGAAGGAAGGAAGCCTTTGAAAGTTCTGTGTTAAAAGACTTTTAAATAGTCCCTAAAATACATTGTATTTTACAGAATGATTTTCATTTGTTATACTGACTCATTAACCATAACTACAATTCTCTGAGCTATCTTAGTAATGTAATACATGGAAAATATGACTGTCCCATTTCTTAGATGATAAAAATGAGCCCCACATATGTTTTGTCTAGTCCCACAGTGTACCAACTTGATATTCCTTGATATTCCCAGAAACATACCATTGCTACTGGTCATCAGAAACATAAACAATGAAGTCAAATTTCCAAGTTTAAATTGATTTCATCCTTGATGTCTTATTAATAGCATCACATGTCCCAAAAGTTGAAATTCTAGACTTAACAACAAAATACCGAGGGAGTTCTACATATGAGTCAACCACCAGCATACAGAACCAATAAGAATGGTTTATAGTCAAGTGCATGCATTTGGTCCTTATTCTTCAGATCTTTCCCTCCCCACCACACAAACTTCAAAACAAAAGAATCCATTTATATTTCTCTCTATAGAATAATAATCAATATTTATGTAGCACTTAATATGTGTTATACACTGTGCTAAGCATTTTGCATTATTATCTCATATCTCATTTAATGCTCAGAATGACCCTGGGAGGTAAATGATATTATTATCCCCATTTCACAGATGAGGAAACTAAGATAAAGAGAGGTTAAGAGACTTGCCCAAAGTCACAAAGTCAGTAAATATCTGAAGCTAGATTTGAACACAGGGTCTTCCTGGCCCAAGGCCCAATGCTCTATCCACTGTATCATCTAACTGCCATATGAAAAATGAAAATAAATGCGTGTATGAACATAAGGCATTTTTGTCTATATGGACATTAGTCCTTACCATCTAGATACAGCCTAAGATTATTTTTCCAGGAATACTAGGCTAGGTATAAATAGAAGCAACATTAACTTGGAATTTCTCCAAAAGAAATCTGTACCTGTATAATTGTTGTCCTTAAAAAAAATCCCTTTTATTCTACCTACAAATGTGTGTTTGGATGCTTACAATCATATTATTAAGGAAAAGACCAGCATGAACAAGAATGGGGCACATTTCATTTTCAAAGGTAAATCAAAGCTAAATGCCTCCCACTTCTGACATGAATTTTACCAAACTATTCATCAATAACCTATGCAAATATATTGTGTATTCTGTACATCAGGCTCAACTTTTTCAATATATGTCAAATTCTAAAGGAATCTTTAAAAGGTCATGATTAAATAGCAATTCTCCCACATTCTTTTTTTCTTAATCAGTATGTAATCATTGCTTTCACTCCCTAATTATCGGGGGTGTAGATTGAAAGGATAAATGGGATACTGTGTAATCACTACTCTTACCTCCTCTGAACAAAAACAGGAAATAGGCCAGCATGAAGAGAGGGAAAAAAAGGAATGGGAAGAGAAGGTAGTGAGGAGGGACAAAAGGAAATAGAGTGGTGTAGGAGTCTGTGGAAAGGAAAGAGGAAGAAAAAGAATAACTAAGGAAAGGGAGATACACACACATACATATACATATACATATACACATACACATACATATACATATACATATACATACATATACATATACATATACATATACATATATACATATACATATACATATACATATACATATACATATACATATACATATACATACATGTGTATGTATGTATACACACACAGGGTTTTCCACAATTTAAGAAGCCTCTCTATATTTTCTAGCCTGAAATATGGCCATGTTTTCTTGGTGTCTTCTGAACTAATTGCCTGAATTAGTAGTAGCTCTTATTACTTATTAAACACACATAAAAGCGAACTAAGGTCCTTTTCTGGTGCCTTATTATGGTACAGAAATGATGCTGGGTTTTCAAAGGCTGACTAATGAGACACAAGCTCTTAGAGGTTCTACCAATCTAGAAAGGTTTTCAATTGGATGTCCAATGTTAGATTAGAGACTAGACACAGATTACCAAGGAAGCATCAGACTTCTCCAGATGCCTGGAAGCAATGGAGAACTTGTCATTTTGCTGCTTCCTCAGCCTAAGAAGAAGTTTTTGCTGCCATCAGAGGAAGGGAGGACCTCACACATAAATCATTTTTTTTAAACGCCTGTACCTCATGTAGGTATTTCTGCCAACAATTACGAAAACGCGCAATCACATCTGTTTAAAGGAAACAGGGCTGCTAATTGCCATGTTAAATTTGTCCAATAAAATTCAGTAATTGAAAATGATTTTTATAAGGAAAACATCATTTCTAGATTTTTTACTCAGTGACACCAGGAAATTATTCTGACATGCTAAAGCTGGAAGAAGTTTTTTTTCAGTTTGTTTATTTCTCCCAACCATCTTAATGGTTTTCTTGTGCCTATGCAGGACTCAAGGACAGGCCACTCCATGTCCTGTCCTCTGTGATCCATCATCTCACTAGTGCATCAGAACAAAAAGTCAAGTCCCAACTCAGGAGAGGGGCCAAACTGAAAAACATCATCAAGATACAGGGGAGGGAGAGTGCAGACAAGTAAACCCTCCAACTGAAGAACCTTTGAGTGCAGCCCTTCTAAGGCCACTTTAATGATGTAAATAACTTTTTAAAGGAATTATAAAAACACTGTCAACAATGTTTTAATACCTAGTGCTTTGTTCAGTTATTTTTAATTTTTAACTAATAGAAATCTACTCTCTCTCCCTCCTTCCTCCAACCTATTAGCAAAAAGGAGATGGGAAGGGAAGAAAAAGAGAAGGTAAGGAAAGGAAGAGAAAGGAGGAAGGGAAAGGAAGGCAAAGAAAAGGAGAAGGGAGGGAAGGGGAGGAAAAGGGAAGGAAGGGGAGGGGAGGAAGAAAGTTTTGTCATCAGTCTCTGGGATCATGGCTGGTCATTACATTGATCAGAAGATAGAAAATTTTCAGCATTTAAAGGGTTTTTTTTGTTTGTTTTTAAAATGCTATTGTTTCTAGTTCTGCTCTTTTTTCTTCATCAGTTAATAACAATCCTCAAAATTGTTCTTTTTTATAATTTGTTATACTAATACATTATTCAATCCTGAATCAGTTCATATATGCCTTTCCATGTCTCTGAATTCATCTATCTCCTCACTGTATAGCACAATAATATCCCATTACATCTATATATCACAATTTGTTTACAATACTAAATTTAATTGTACAGATTGGCATTCACAGGATAAGCAAAAAGAAAATGAATATTTTGTTCTTTGCATTTGATCTAAACTCTAAGGAAATACTAGTTCTATATTGTCTTTGTCTATAACAGGCAATATTATTTGCAAAACACTCCAGTAACTTAATTTAATTAGATTTCTTCATCTTCAAAACAGGGTGACATATCCCTCCTGATTTTCAGTATCTCTTCCCTTTGCCCTAAGGAAATCCTGCAAGATTATTTCCATTATTGCCTACATAGATGGGTGGGTCTGTTACTCTGTTCTCCTTCTAATTATCTTTTGGCTATCATCAATATAATATCGTATGACCAGTCAGCATCAAAGACTATATAAAGCGACCAAAAACATTGTTTAGAGAAAGCTTTTTAGGAGAAATTTACTATATACAGTTAAAAATAAACATTTAAAATATATACATATATGCACAGCATAATACCTTGTGGGCATTTTTAGAGCTAGACCTTATATAAACATAATAAAGTTTATTAAGGAAATGTTTGGTTGACGCTAAATGAACATTACTCAATTCCTTTATGTAACCAATATTACAAATTTCTCAACTGGTGGACATACTATTCATTTGTTGCTTTAGACCTCAAACTAAACATACATCCTCATTCATTAGAAAGATAGGATAGGCATGGGGCACAGAACTGTAATTTCACTGGTAATAGGGAGCTCCTGGATGAGAAAATTCTCTTAACCAAATAAACTCCTTTGTACTGGAAAAAAAAGTATGGGGTTTTTTCCCCACAATGTATTTTTGTGTATATAACAAGAGAACTAGTAACAGAGCCATAGAGTAATTCAGTCATAGTGTCATGTGTACTTACATGTGCCCCATCCCTTACCCCTTGTTGCAAATGTTTTCAAAATATATATTAACATCAAGGGGAGAAAACTTGAGAATCAGGCTTGTACTACTGAAACTATGCTTTGAGATCCAAGTTTTGGAAAATTTCTGTATAATTTCATACGCCTCTAATATACAATATAACTCAGTTTAGAATACCTTAGGTCGTGTTATTGCAGTTATTTGTGCTTGTATGCAAATTATTTAGGTTGCATGCCTATGTTTTTCTTAATTTAGTGAATATTTCTATTTTCTTATTTTTCTTTTTGTATTATAACTTAAACATCAACAAATATGAACATTTACATATACAAAGAATACCAAAGAGCATTATATGAGGCTGTAAATATATCACATACAGCTATAATAGCATTTTACTATTATTCAACATATAGTAGGTTTATTGGCCTACATCTACCAAGGGTTCTTTGCTCACACACACTCTAGCATTTCCAGTATTTTCCTTTTCATTCCTTTCCCATTTACAAATACTCAGATACTTTCCTCATCTTTGAAAAAAAATCTTTGCCCAAACATTCTTTACCCATGCTTCCCTGCCTCTAGCTACAATCCTAATCCTTTATCACTTTTACTTCCAAACTTTTAAAAACAAGTCTATACCTGCTGCCTGTTTCCCCTTAAGCACTTTATAATCTGCTTACTGACATATGTCTTCTACTGAAACTTGTTCAGAACCTACTGATAGCTTCCATTTTGAAAAATCGACCTTTTATTCAGTTTTCATTCCTTAAAATTTTCTGTAATATTTGATGTTAGCTACCTCCTAATTCAAACTCTCCTTTGACTTTCAATACACTATTCTGCCTGGCTGCCCTCTTATAATTTGACTTCTTGCCTCTCTCGTTGACTTCTTTCTTCCTCCCCACTACCTGACCTCTATTCTGAAGAATCCCTAAGCCTCAGCCACCAACTCTCTAGTTCTTCCCTTTCTAAACAAAAGTGAACACTCTCATATCCTCATGGTTTCAATTATGACTTTAACACAAATACAGTCCCTCTACTTAACCAGCCAAGACATCTTGCCAGAGCTCCAGACTGGAATCTCCAAAGGGCATTTACTGGATTTCTCTTTTTAGATTTCTCATTAACTTATATCAACAAAACCATCTTCCCTTCCCAAGTGGCTCTCATTTCCATACTTTTTTAATGTCTGTCTATGCCACTAAGTTCTCCTATCACCTAAGCTTGAAACTTTGGAGTCATCTTCGTATATAGGGGGATAAATAGAAGGAAAAAGTCAAAGAGTAAAACATAGTTTTATCACACTTTCCTTTAAAGTACTTTCATGTGTGCTTTCCTTTCCAATCTTACTGCCATTACTAGAGCCCAGGCCCCCATTATTTCATATCTATGTTAAGATATCTTATGAATGTTGCAGCAGTTTCTAACTATCTGTAGTTATTAACCTATACTTTATGGTGAGCATCTAAACTGGTTCTATCATTTTCCACATTTATGCTTTGGATTAAATCTCTGAATTGTTTTAATGTGTAGCTAAGCTTAAGCAATTAAAGGTTAAAACTACACTAAGGTTTCTTGGGGACCCCCCATAACATTCCCTGATCATTTAAGTCCACAGATTGGCTGTATTATTCGTCATAGTACTTAATCAGATACTCTCTACCACTATTATTTAAATGTAGATATCTCTTGTGAACGTATCTTCTCCCCTACAATGGATTTGAAGGAACACGTGTCTGAGCTATTTTTACTCCTCCAACAGATTCTTCTAACAATTCCAATTATTGAAATGCTCCTCTTCCTTCAAGACCCAACTCAGACACCAACTATTATGTAAAAATCTTCCCTTGTTCCCTTTGCAAAGACATCCCTTTCTCCCATAATGTTCTCTTAGACTTTAAATAACACTCTTACTATTATTACATTATTTACTAATATTCTTCACTCTCTCAACTAGGCTATAAGGCATCTGAGGGCAACAGCTGTGTTATTTTTTCATCTCTCTACCACACTTTACATACATTGTAGTTGCTTGATAAATGTTTGAAATGAATACTTACTTTGTCTCTCTCCCATAGCCCAGAAATCTGCTGCTCTTCTATGATGTTTACTTCATGGACTTGGACATTCTGCAGATCAAACTGTGCTCCCTAAAACATTAATATTAATACTAATCAATGATATTTATATAACACTTTCAGACCTCAAAAACACTTTACATACCTTAAGTGTACCTCTGTGAGATGACAAGTTTTGTCCACTTTTTGCAGACAAGAAAACAGGCTCATAAAGGTTAAATGTCATCCCCATGGTCACACAAGTATAAAAGGCAGGATCTGAGGTCAGGCCTAACTAACTCCTGGTACAGCACTCTAAACCATGCTTCCTCTCTGGATACTTTCAAGTGCAGCAAAAATATCACCAAATATAATAATCCTATTTTATAATGACAATGGGGGTAGTGGTGATGATGATAGCTAGCACTCACAGAGCAATTTAGTGTTTATATAACACTTCAAATATCTCATTCAAATATCTAAATAACTCTATAAGGTAGGTGCTATTACTATCCCCATTTACAGAGGAAGAAACAAAGCTTCCAGGCCTTAAGTTACCTGACGTCACATAGGTAAGTAATATGCAAGATTTGAACTCAAGTGTTCCTATCTCTGGCAGCTAGATGGCACAGTGGATAGGGTACTAGGCCTGGAGTCAGGAAGACTCATCTTTCTGAGTTCAAATTTGGCCTCAGATACCTACTAACTGTGTAAGCCTGGGCCAGTCACTTAAGGCTATTTGCCTCAGTTTCCTCATCTGTGAAATGATCTGGAGAAGGAAATGCCAAACTACTCCATTATCTTTGGCAAGAAAACCCCAAATGGGGTCATGAAGAGTTGGACATGACTAAAAAATGACTCAAAAACTTCCTGTCTCCAAGTCCAGCCCTCGACACACTATACTAATGTGTAGTAAGGCAGCTAAGTGGGACAGTAGAGAGATCTTGGTCATGGAGTTAAAAACAAATCCTGAAGTTCAAATCCAGCTTCAGAAACTTACTTACTGTGTGGCCTTAGGCAATCACAAAACTTCGCTGTGCTTCAGGGTACTCATCTGTAATATGGGGGTAATAAGAGTTCCCACCCCTTAGGGTCTCGAGAAGATTAAATAAGATATTTGTAAAGTGCTTGGTGAACCTTAAATCTCTATCAAGCTTATCATTATTATCATTATTATTATCATTATTATACTACTTAACTGCTTCTAACACCAATGTTTTTTAAAACATTACATTATAGAGCAGCAAATTTTGGCTATAGCACAATTATAGAATTATAAATGGCACATTTATTTAATTGAGTTACTATATACATCACAGGTGAAATTCCAATTTTTGAAGAATTATGATACTATGAAATGCACTTAACAATAAAATTATACTGAATAGAACATCATAAGAAAGATATTAGAACAAATAATACTGGAAAAAAATCATAGAGCTAAAAGGTATAAGAGAAGCCATTCAGTCCAATCTACACCTCAATAAGAAATCTCTTACCAGCATCCCCATCTTACTCACAAGACTTCACTTGAAGATATTTAGTGAGGGGAGACTCACTGTACCTCAAGGCAACCCATTTTCTTTTGGAGAGTTCCAGTTATTAGGAATATTTCCTTACCTGGACCCTAAGTGTGCCTCTTCTACAGATCACCATACTTCAGCCCTCTAGGGCCAAGTAGGATGTGTCTAATCCTTCTTCCAAATGACAGGTCTTTAAGCTATCATGTGTATACTAAGATCTTGCTTATTTAAACATTCTCAGTAGCTTAAATTAATCTTTATAGGCCATGGCCTCAGAGACACTCACCAATCTAATAACTTTCCTTTGAATGCTGTCCAGGTGGCCAGTACGCTTTTTAAAATGAATTGAAAGAGATCCTAACACACTATTCTAGAAAGTGTTCTTTCTAAAGAGTAAATTGGGATGATGTCTTCCTCTGTGTGTTGTTTTTTAATTATGCCTTTCTACATGCAACCTGAGATCACATTAGCTATTTCTGGCTGCTATATCATTGACTCACCTGGCATTTCAAGTCCATTAAAAAGATCAGATCTTTCCCATGCAAATTGATGACTAGTCATTCTGTCCCCTTTTTGCATTTATGATGCAATTTTTTAAAAACTCAAAATTTTTTCACATACATTTATCACATTTCATCTTGATTCAGTCCACTGTACTAGACCAAGAGTTCCTAATTTCATGGACTCCTCTGGCAGGCAAGCTAAAACCTAGAAATTCCTTCTCAGAATAATGTTTTTAAATACATAAAATTAAATACATAGAATTTAAAAGGAAATCAATTATATTGAAATATAGTTATTGATTTTTTTTAATTAATGGACTCTAGTTTAAGAACCCTTGTTCTAGACTATAGATAACTTTTTGTATCCTAATTTTGTCATTAAATGATCCTACCACATGCTTCATCTACAAAACTCAATAGTCTTCATAAGCAGGTGGGTTGACCAAAAGTCGGTGGGGCTTTGCTGGCAGTTGTAGAATGGTAATCGTGATATTCTGTCTTTTTAGATGAGAAAAGTGACAAGAACCAAGCCACAACTCCTGTGTTGTCTTTGATTACCTGACAGAAGCATTTGATTTTATTAACTGAGCAGATATGGGGGAAACCTCATCCAGAGGAATTTTATAAACATCGTTTACTTATTGCACAGGGAAAGTATGGCAAAAGTTTAAGAGAAATGTCAAAGGCATTTACTGTAACTAATAACATTAAACACAGCAAAATTCTTGCTCCCTTTCTGCTTGTTATTTACTTTTCAAGGATGTTTCCTCATGCCTTCAGAGATTCTGATGTAGGAATTGCACTGGATTCATCTGATGTTCAATCTGCAACACACTGACAGGAAGGAAACAGCTGATAGTGGCTACTCAAAAACGTTTAGCTGCCAGTGTTTTCATATTAGTGGCTCATAATTAGAAGAAAGCACAATTCTAATATTCATTTGCTAAGACTACACTTCTCCTTAATCCGATAGTGCGAAAAAGACAAGTCTTTCTCTAGCACTAACCAGTAAATATATATCAAATACGTATCCATATGCTAAATGGTTTGCCCTTGAAAATCACAGGTAACTCTGATATCTTGATTATGTCATTTCTCAAGAAATCATCTTCTAGAAGAAGAATAAAAAAAAAACTTGCTTGGCAAAATCACTCCTTTTGGACTGTTTGCAAAGCATTTGAGAAATTATGGCAAAGTTAAGATCAGTATCAAAATTAACACTATGGAGTTGCAATCACCCCTCACTATTAATTCACCATTAGAATGTAAGCTCATGGAGTAGGGTCTATTTCACTGTTATATTTGTATTCCCAAGTTTCATCTAAGTTATTAATTAATTAACAAGCATTTGTGCACCTACTATGGTCTAGGCCTCATGCTAGGTGATAAAGATTCAAAACAAATAGCCCCTGCCCTCAAAGAGCTTACATTCTTTTGGGTAAGAAAACATGGACATAGAAGTACATAAAATACATATGAATACAATGGAAATTTGTCATCTGTTAGTTTCTGACAGAGAGCAAGCCTCTAGCCACCAGATCCTATCTTTCTGGGTAGATGCTAAAGTTTAGCAACCTGCAGTAATGTATTGCACAGTTAAAGCATTTCTTTAAATAATCTTCATTGATCATTAAATATAGGCTCCTGAAGAATGATATGGCTGTAATCTCAGGCAGCAATGGCCAGGCCCTGCATTGCTACCATGCCAACCACTCTGATAAATGTTCATGACTCAGTCATTTGCCTGACACATCTTGTGGAGGTCATGTCCAGTCCTGGGCCCTTGCACTCCTAATCGATGAGGGCTCTCCATAATTAGCCCAATACAGACCCACTCTACTAAGGGCTACTCTCTAGCCATCTTCATGCTATACTTCCACTGACATTCTACCCTCTCCCCTTTCTAAACAATTGTGTTTTCATTCTATCTCACTTCTCTGAAGCTTTTGATACAAACTCCCAACCAATCTCTCTTTCATTTACTTCCATGAATTTTCTCCTTCTTGGTTCTCCAACCTGTGTTGTCGTTAGTCTTTGAATCATCATCCATCTTCTACTCCCTAATCATGGTGGGCTCCCAAGTTCTATTTTGAGCCTCATTCTCAATCTCTCTCTCTCTCTCTCTCTCTCTCTCTCTCTCTCTCTCTCTCTCTCTCTCTCTCTCTCTCTCTCTCTCTCTCTCTCATGATGCAAGGCAATCAGGGATAAGTGACTTGCCCAAGATCACACAGCTAGTGAGGGTCAAATGTCTGAGGCCACATTTGAAATCAGGTCCTCCTAACTCCAGGGCCAGTGCTCTATCCACTGTGCCACCTAGCTGTTCTGCTTTTTCTTTCTTTACACTCTGTTTCAGTCATGTTATCACTTCCCATGGCTATGACTAGCATCTCTATGCTGATGATTTCCAAATATCTCGAGAGCCCATTTTCTACCGACTACACATTTCTACCAGTATTTCACAAAGGAATCTCAAGCTCCTTCCTCCACACTTCTTAAACTGTGGGTCACAACCCCATATGCGGTCATGTCATAAAAAAATTTGGCAATGGTAAAAGGCTTCTGAACATACAATTGACCAAAAAATAATTCAGAATCAAATGGGTAATGAATCCAAGGTGTTTCCAGCAGCACTTGCAGGTTATCAATCCAACTTCACTGCAGCTTTGTTTCTAAACACAAAGTATGCCCACTTTGCACTACGCATGCCCTAAGGCCACGCAATGCCAATGAAGCCTGTCAAAATGAAAAAAAAAGCCATGAGAGGAAAAAGTTTAAGAAGCCCTGCTCTAGAGCACAGCTCAAGTGATAACTCCTACACAAGACCTGTCCTAGTCCCCTCATTACCTCCATCCCCCAACAGTAGTTTTCTCTCCCTTTTGAAATTATTTTATGTAACTTTGTATATACTTGGAATTTCCTTACCAATATACACATTGTACCCATTAGGAGAAGAGATAATCTCCTAAAGGGTGAGAACAGTTCAGTTAGTATCTTTCTGTTCCCAGCACCTAGCACTGTACACCTGATAATCAACCAGCATTTATTATGTATCTGCTCTGTCCTAATTCTTCTCCTTGGATCACTGACTGACTTATTGTGGCAAAGTGGCTTGAGTAACTCAGTTAAACTATGAGCTATACCATGCAGTGTTACCAGGTCATAGTGGAGAGTTCTGACAAAAGGCGATCTGCTGGAGAAGGAAATAGCAAACCACTCCAGTATCTTTGCCAAGAAAACCCCATGGACAGTACTAAAATGATAAAAGAAATGACATCAGAAGATCAGCCCTTCAGGTCAGAAGGTGACCAATATGCTTGCTACTGGGGAAGAGTGGAGGATAACCACAATTAGCTCCAGTGCTAAGAAAGTGGCGGCACCAAAGCCGAAAGGAACCTCAGTTGTGAATGCATCTGGTGATGAAAATAAGTCCAGTGCCATAAAGATGAATACTGCATAGAAACCTGGAATGTAAGATCTATGAACCAAGGTAAGCTGGATATGGAAATGGAAAGATTAAACATCAGCATCTTGGGTGTCACTGAACTTAAGTAGATACAAATGAGGAAGTTTAATTCAGATGATCACTACATATACTATTGTGGGCAAGACTACCTTAAAAGAAATGGAGTACCTTTCATAGTCAATGAAAGGGTAAGAAAAGCAGTACTGCAGCTTAATCTCCAAAATGACTGAATGATATCTGTTTGAATCCAAGGCAAACCATCCAGCATCAAAATCACATAAGTCTATGCTCCCACCAAGTGTATTGATCTCTTTGGGTGCTGTTGAACACTTCTGTGAAGACCTACAACATTTTATAGAAATAATACCAAAAAAAAAAAAAGATGCCACATTTATCATAGGGGATTGAATGTTAACATAGGAAATCAAAAGATAATTGGAATATGGGGCAGCTAGGTGGCACAGTGGATAAAGCACCAGCCCTGGAGTCAGGAGGACTCAAGTTCAAATCCAGCCTCAGACACTTGATGCTTACTAGCTGTGTGACCCTGGACAAACCACTTAACCAAAAAATAATAATAATAATAATTAGAATAACAGGCAAGCTTGGCCTTGGAGTACAAAATGAAGCAGGGCAGAGACTAACAGAGTTTTGTTGAGATAACTTGCTGGTCGTGCAAACACTCTTTTTCAACAAACCAAAAAATGACTCTACACATGAACATTACCAGATAGTCAATTATGAAATCAGATTGATTATATACTTTGCAGCAAAAGGTAGAAAAATGCTATACAATCAGTTAAAACAAGACCATCAGACCATGTAGGTATGATCTAATTGGCAAACCCCATGAATATGAAGTGGAGGTGATGAATAGATTTAAAGGACTTAATCTGGGAGATAGAGTACCTGAAGAACTACAGACAAAGGTTCACAAAAGTGTACATGAGGCAGCAACAAAAAACACTCCTAAGAAAAAAGAAGAGCAAGAGAACAAAATGCTGTCTGATGAGACTTTACAAATATCTGAGGAAAAAAAGGAAAGCCAAAGGGAAAGATACATCCAAATGATGCAGAATTCCAGAGAACACCAAGGAGAAATAAGAAGGCTTTCTTAAATGAGCAATGCAAAAAAATAGTAGAAAATGATAGAATAGGAAAGACGAGAGATCTCTTCAAGAAAACCACAGAAAACAAGGGAAAATTTCATGCAAAAATAAGCACGATAAAAGACAAAAATTGTATGGATTTAATAGAAACAGAAGAGATTAAGAAGAGGTGGCAAGAATACACAAAAGATCTATATAAGAAAGATCTTATCATCACAATAACCACAATAACACATAATAATCAGTGTGGTTACTGATCTGGAGCCAGACATCCTGAAGAATGAAGTCAAGTGGGCCTTAGGAAGCATTGCTAACAATAAGCTTAACAGAGTGATAGAATTCCAGCTGAGCTATTTGAAACTGTAAAAGATGATGCTGTTAAAATGCTGCACTCAATATACCAGCAAATTTGGAAAACACAACAGTGGCCACTGGACTGGAAAAGATCAGTTTACATCCCAATTCTAAGAAGGCCAACACCAAGAAATGTTCAAATTACTGAACAATTGCACTTATTTCACATGCCAGCAAGGTTATGCTTAAGATTATCTGCAAGCCAGGCTTCAGCAATATATGAATCCAGAATTAACAGAAGAGCAGGCTGGTTTTCAAGGAGGCAGAGGAGCTAAAGACCAAATTGTCAGCATTCACTGGATTATGGAGAAAGCAAGGAAGCTCCAGAAAAAAAGAAAAAAACATCTACTTCATTGGAATAACAGGCAAGCTTGTCCTTGGAATACAAAATGAAGCAGGGCAGAGACTAACAGAGTTTTGTTAAGATAACTTGCTGGTCATGCAAACATCCTTTTTCAACAAACCAAAAAATGACTCTACACATAACATCACCAGATAGTCAATAATGAAATCAGATTGATTATATACTTTGCAACAAAAGGTGGAAAAGTACTATACAATCAGTTAAAACAAGACCTGGTGCAGAATGTGATTCAGCCAAAGGACAGTATCCAAGGATACTAAATCCTTTGTGTGGATCACAATAAAATGTGGCAAGTCCTCAAAGAGACTAGAGTACCAGATCATCTCCTGTATGCAGGCCAAGGAACCTGTATGCAGGTCAAGAAGCAACAGTTAGAATCAAACATGGAAAACATTAATTTAAGATTGAAAAAGAGTATGACA